AGGGATGGCAGAGAGAGAACACAAATGATACACAAAACAGCACGCTACTGAAAAAAATAAATATAGCTGTATGAATGGAATACTGTTTACTCAAATTCACTGTGATTCATTATCCTGCATATGTAGACAGGATGAGTAAGATTACAACATATCCATGGTGTTTTGTGAAGCAATCTTGTTTGCCTAATAACCTAGATAAAATCATAAACAAAAATAGTTTCCAACTGAAATTCCTTGAACATAATTCTGAACTAGAGAATATGACAACCACAGAACCAGATCTAGAAATATGCATTTGACAAATACCAAATTTAAAAAATCTCATATGCCTTGATATAAAGCACATGTAGTTTGGTTCTCAGACAGGTGGCTAATCTCATTCCGTTCCCCTTTTTACAGGGGCACAATTATAAAATAGAGAAAACTTTTGCATGTAAGTAATTACGTAAAATGAGACCACAAGTCAGTTTTCAGCTCCTCTCTCTTTACTTCAAAACTGAAAGAGAATTAAATAAATTACTTTCCCTCCTCAGTTAAGAGGAAACAATAGATTAAGGTACTATGAGCACAGAAGCCAAAAGATCCCAAATTCCAAATCACATTCAACCACCAAGCCAGCCAAACCCCTCTACTCCTGTGCCTTCATTCTCTTGCTCTACTCTCTCCCAGCTGTATGTGAAGCAGGGGATCAGATCCCTCCACTTCATAATTACTTTGTTTGTAAAGTGGTTTGAAAATGAAAAATGCTCATTACAGAGCTCAAGCCTGCAGGGCAATGCTTAACAGCAAATATATTTCTGAAATACACTCACTCAGGCACTATATTGATTACAAGCTGCAGGATATTATTCTAATGCTATCTGAGGGATCACAGTGGCAACAGTTGAAATACCATGTGCAATCCCAGACACTGCATTTTTTCACTGTATTAGAAAAGAGCTTCGAGATGGGGAATTCCATGATGAGGTATACCCAGTCCTACAGGGAGTAACGACTACAGATGCTATTTGCATCAATGTCCTTGTAGCAAGTACCAAGATGATGGATCACAACTGAGACTACAGACATAGCTAACAGTCACTCTTTTGAAGGGCATGACTCACTTCATATTCTAATAAAGTTGTCTAACATAAACTTGGGACTCCTGTACTTATGATTTATTTTAATCAAACATCCTACTTGTGGAAAGAGGTGATAGCTTCTTTGCATTACAGATACAAATCCTATGCAAATTTAAATTTTATGTCCTGCTCTTCTTCAGCTCCTATCGTACATTTTAGACTTGGCAGGACGACAACTGTCATAATTAAATTAGTTGAAGGCAATATTAAAAGACAGTTTCTGATTTTTGCTAAAAAGAAGTCAGAGAAAATCTGTGTGTCATACAAAAGCTCAGCGGGAGGCTGTCTTTGGGGTGTCCTTTTATGATAAAAATACATATGTTCTTGAACAATGAAGTTTGAAAAATTAAAATTTAACAAAAGACCTCTTTTCAACACAAACCATTTTGAGACATTTGAGGTATTTTGACATATTCTATTACTTGCTGCTTTTCTGTAACTGTAAAACAGGAATTGTTTTTACCAGTTATTTTTTGAAGTGATAAATGGATAAGTGGTAAACAGACCTCCATGATTTTAAAGAGTTTCTTTCTCCACCATTACCTATTTTCATCCCTTCAGTTAGAGCATAGCTACACAAAAAGCTGATTTAGCATTTGGCAAGACTGAAGGGATGGAAGAGAAGGGAAAGCAGGAACTTCCTAATGCAGACCTGCTCTCAACCCAAAACCATTTCCTAAAAGAACAGATTTGGTTTTGGAGCTTCCTGCTCACTCATCTCACTCCACCTATTCATTTCTGGACTCACACTACAAATTTAATTCGCTTGGTTATACCAACCACTGTAGTATTGTTTGCTTGCTTGAACATAAGGACAAGATACTTTGAATGAAGCAGGGACAGGTTAAAAATTAAATTTCATACCTTTTATCAAATTGATAATTTATTGCATTCAGAAGACAAAGTTACTATAAAGTAATAAATCTGGGTTCCTACCAAGTGCTTTTGTCAAGTCAGCTTTCACTGTCCACGCAGTCTCAGTGTATCATCAGTATTTCAATCAGCAAGAGGAACCCTCTGATGCAAACTCTTATTTTTTGTTTCCTTTTACAGTCAAAGCTGCCTCAAAAGCAGAAACACTTGCCCTGCTTGTTCAGATTAGTGTGACCGCATCACTGAGCTACAACTGCAATGCAACAACACCCTCTACCGAGGCATTCTGGCAAAGGCACACAAGAAGGGTGAGGAAAGAACAGTACCATCAAATCGGTCTTTCCTCGCCTCCATCCTTGTATAGCTATGCTATGGAAAAAAATAAGTTGCTGCTTTTAAGCTAGATAAACTATAGCTGTCAAGCTAAAGATGCATAATGGAAATGTATTAAGAACTTGATAACATGAGAATTGTATTTGTGACTCTATGCAAAAGATTCTGTGTATCACTTTGGTTTTGCTCACTGAGGCTACAGAGGAAGGGAGGTCTCAGTAATGAGTAGCAAAGGGAGACTGGAAACAGAAAGACCTGATCAATAGTACCCTAAAAACAGCAAGGCTCTTCTTTTTTTAAACACCTAAGCTCACATTGGGCATAAAAGTGGAGTAAGTTTGATCTACATTTGGAGTTTTACAGAGCATTACAGGCACACACACGTGCACTCATATACTCACCTAGCCTGAAAGTGGTTTTCTGACATACCTTATTTTTTGGATGACCATAAAATCAAATGGTGCAAGGAGAGTTCATCCAACCAGAAAGCATAAAACAACTTTTTCTGGTATTATTTCACAAGGCACAGTACCAGCTGAAGCAAACACACCAAGTATGCTTAATTTCAGATGGGAAGCAGAGAATCTTATGTTCAAGAAGACTTAGAAGTAAAATATATGTTAGCACAACACAGCAATTACACTGGCACTTGCCTGAGATGCCAGAACTACAGTATAAATCAACACTAGAAGTGTAGTAGATTATTTACCAGTCAAACTGTATGAGATGAGAACAGACCTCACTACAGGTTTATATATAAATCCAAGAAGACCCACACTTCTTTCTGCCATGTTCTCTAAAGTTTCTACATCTTACCACAGCAGGCATCTATCATCAAGATTTACATGGTGCCCTTTAGAATAGTATTTTTGCATCATTTTTTATCCGAATGCAGAGGAACATTGTAAAACATCTCACATCTAAGCAAAAATTGATGTTTTGTTGATCAAGCTATATTATGATTATCATTTCCCTTCAATATAAAAAAAAAAGTTATACACCGCTCCATGTTATCATCATCATCTTCTGTAATTAAATGTAAACAATTTGATTTAAAATGCCATCAAAATTGGTAGTTTTATAACTGCTATAAACTATAGTTTTACAAATCCAGACTTTCAACAATGCCCAAGACAGGTGACTATTAAAATGTGCGTTTTCACATCATTTAAAATGCTGAACAGATAAAGAGTTATTCTGCAAAATCCGTCACTGATATTCTGCACTACCAATTATAATTTACTTCAGGAAAGGCACCAGCTGTGCAGTTCCTTCTCCGAGAAGATCCACAAAGCAGAGCTGGCATCTGTACCAAAGGGAACAATACACTGAGGGTTTAAAGAAACTCCTTTTAGATTTCCAGATGTAAAGTAACTCCTGGGCTAAGTGAAAAATAAGGTGACTCAGACATTTTATTAATTAAAATAAAACTCACCCAAAAGGAAGAGCAGAGCAGACTTCACTTCTAGCATGTGTTTTTGTTTTTTTTAAACAACGGCAATTAAAAATCAAACCACCTGCAGCTCGTACATTCCACAGTTACTTTCTCTAATATGCATTTAAGTTACGAAGAAATATCTGTAAACACTTACCTCCCTGACAGACAGCTGTGGGGGTAGCGACACAGAAAATACAAAACTGGTAAACTGGTAGTCAGCAGAATTAACCTTTTGGCACACCTGTAAGAGAAGGATTTTAATATTAAATCACAGCAATGGAACCGAGTTTATGATCTGTCAGGATATTCTTTATTCCAGCATAATTACGGTAAATCCATGTTCAAGATAGATGCCGAACATACAGACCAGAGTAATCCCTAACAACTTATTGAAATAAAACTTTTTATGTTGTTAAAGAAACCTAAAAGTTACTAATAAACTGTATCCTTATTGCTATGAAACAACGAAACTTGCTATTTTAAGGCTAAGACCAATTGTATACTGAAATCTTAGTGCAACAAATTACACCACAGTGACCAAAGGCTAGAACAAAGGACTTCATGGCAGTGATACAATTCTATGACAATAAAAATGTTTACGATCCTGGGATAAGACAAGAACAAACAGGTATCCACAGTATTAATTCGTAATCACTTTTCATGATGATAAAAAATCATGTTTGTCACTGGAAATAAAGAAAGAACCCACATCAAGCATTTTCTGAAGCTCGAGCTGATGGCTAGATGTGCCTACTGGAAATACACTTAAGCACACATGGAGAAGTTGTCCAAAATGTCAGTGGTTTTAGTGAATGTTAAAGACAGATTCTGAGCTTTCAAGTGAAATAAACATCTCAGATAAGGAAATTTCCTTATAAAATAATCAGTTTTTATGGAGCCTTAACAAAAGCTGTCAGATTATCCATTGCTGCTCAAGAGAGTAACTCTGAACCAGGTCTTAGCGGATTCTGTAAAAATATATACACTCTGCCAACAGAAAGAGAAAAGAAACATCATGCACTGAAATAACAGAAACTATATACTGTGCTGTCTGTTTAGTCTCTATTTAGTTTCTATTAAAACTCTGTTAAACATCTCACATGTAAGTGTGATTTTTCTTGCTGATATTTCAGTTCGTCACATAAGCAATTTTATTGCTCAAGGATGATGTTTGTAACACTCCTTATGCCCATATTCTCTCCTAACTTGTATTTTCTCAATTATCTACAATCTGTTGTATCACCAAAACATTTTCTTCCTCTGTGGCTTTCTAAATAGTAAAGCTATTATAAAGGCAGACTCATGTTATATTAGGACTATGCAGTTAAGTTGAAGAGCACAGCATTTGATGCCTCCTCATTTTCCCCTCATATAGTGAAAGTGAAGTCACTATTTACAGTGACGTTTTCCTTATAATCTAAGCAGCTGAACTTCAGGATATCTCCTAAATTCTTCAACTATGTATCCAAGGCCTTTTCTCAGGAAAATGTGCTCCTAGCAGGCATTTAATTGCACCTGCACTGCTATTTTTTAAAAAAGTTACATTATGACAAGGCCTGGGTAAAATATGGTCACACCTACTGATTTTATTTCCCAGCTGCACAGGAAGAATGCACACACTGTCCACGAGCAGTAAGTAGTTGAATGGCGCCATCTACACTTCAAATATTCAAAACATGCAAATGTTTCAGTTTGTTTTCTGGTATCCTTCTATCATTTGTTTAACTGCACAGTGTTTTCAATCACCAGCACTATACTGTGGGCCCCAACTGTAATAAAAGTACACATACAGGTTAAGTACTGGTTATTTACCTTTTTAACAAAGTCAGCCTCGCAGAACTCCTGAAGAATTCCCAAACATACATTGCAAACCTTCACAGCTGAGGTCTCCATTGCAGTATTTTCGTCATTAATTGAAGGAATCTGCTGAAGTGCTCCATTGTGGTTCAGATCATCAGGCCTCTCTTCTGTGTGTTCAAGTCTGGTTCTCTTACAAGGTGGATCAACTACACCAAAACAAACCGTATCTTCTTTTTCTTCATTATTTTTCAGAAATTCTTTTAAATCCTTCATCAAATCCTAACACAAAGAGAGGAATCATACTGTTGTTGTTTTTTGTCTTTTCTCCAATGCTGTAACAAGCACTTACAAACAGAATTCTAAAAGGCAGTACTAACCATTCAAGTTTAGCCTAGTGTACGTAATTAATAACTTGGAATTTATACCAAAACACATCTACACAATTAAAAAGCTCCAAGTTGAGTTTCTGTCAAAATGTTATTCAGAGGAATTGAATTCTGCTGAACAGACTTCTGTATCATCCAAGAAGAGTGAAAACATTTTACAGACCTGACTTGTAGAAATGCCTTTATCTCTGGCCCCATTGCTATTCGATGAAAACAGATGTTTATTGCCTTTTTGTCATTTAGATTATGTTAGAATTTAATTCCTCCAACTCCATTAGCTAGACTAGAAAGAGAGTTGGCTACTATTGTACGAGAAGAAAATGAGAGCAGATACAGGTGAGGGTGAAATTAAATACATAGAGGAAAAACTTCATATAAAGAGAGAAGCCTACAAAAATCAAAGCATGTACTGGTGAGGAGAGAGAAGAAATACCTGTATGTCTCTGGATTTTAGGAAGAATGAGAGATAGAGCCAAGACGTAGATCAGAAGGAAAGATTTATTAGAAGGTCTTCAGTAACAAAGACGGCAGTTACTGTGTTGCTGCAAACTCAGAGGAAAAACACGTAGAGATGCAAAAGAATAAAAAACGGCATACAGAATGAACACTTCTCAAATTATTAATAGAAAATGGAAAAGGATAAGAAAGAAAGATTTTAAAAATTAATTCTGGTGAGTCTGAACTTGAACAAAGGTGAAACACTCAAGACAGACACCAGAAGATGCAAGCATAAAGACAAGGGATTAGACCAGGCAAATGGCAGTTTATTTGTCCTACATAATGAGAGAGGTCTCAAAGAGGTCTCAAAATATGGAGGAGGAGCAAATAGCCAAAACCAAGTTGAGGAGTATCAAATAAAAGAACAAAGGCAAGAATGATTATGCACAGCTAGGAAAAATTTGAAGAACACTGAATTTCAGTGCAAAGGTCAGCTATAAAGGAAGCCTAATAACACTTCGTTTGACTGACTGAAAAATATTTATCCTCAACCTGTGTTCCGCAATTCTTCAGTTACATCCCCCTACCAATTCTACTGAAAGAAGAACGTATAAGACAAAAAAGTTTGGAGCATAGATGGTACCTCTTCTGCATCAGCTGCACTGCCCACAGCCACTTTGCTACTTATTACATTAAAAGAAAAAGAACAGAGGAAACAGTCATAGCTGCTCTGCTTTAAAAGTGATAGAGCCATGCTGTGCAGAATCTAACACACCCTGTTTTCTTGTGTTTTCAGGAATACGTAAACTTTCACAGTCAAACTTAATATCTAAGCCACAACAACTGTTTTTCTCTATGATTCCTGTAATTTCTCAAAATTGCACAGTGTAGCAGCATTTTTCATAACTCATTTTGCAAAGCGTTTTCCTCTCAGGCAAGGAGTGCAAGAATACAGCAACCTTCTCCTTCAAGGCAGTGCAAAGAACACAAAGTAACATCTATATGTTATCACATTCTAACTAGGAATACAAAGAACAAACCTTGTATGGATGTCGATAAAGCGTCTGTGTTCCCACACAGCAGAACCTCAAAATACATCGTGGACAAGTGCCGGTGCTCAGTAGAAGTTGAACAATTGGTTTGTCCTTTTCTGTTAGTGAAGACATCCTGGACAATCCTAAAATAAAAAAAAAAGAAAAGAAAAAAAAGCTTAGAATAAACACAGTTTGGCAATTCAGCAATAAGATATATTAAACCAAATATAAAATGAAAATTCCTTCTAAAATTGTAGCAACTAAAGAATCAAACTGTTAAAATCAGAGAAAAAAAAACCCAAACACAACAAAACAACCAAAAACTAGATGCCACCCCTTTTGTCATACACAGCCCTAAAGGCAAAGGAAGTCTTTACTATCTGTCAGTCCCTTCAATTTTTTGATATTTCTTATTTCCCATCTCAAACATAGGACTACAGGTTTTGTGAGAGATCTCAATATGTCCCTACAAGATTATGGCTAATTTTGTTTCCCATCACTCTCTCTTTCCAGAACATTAGAGCAGACTAATCTCTTTGGCTGAAATTTAATAATGAGATAGAACACCCAGCAAACTTAAGTTCTCACACTTCTAGGAAAAAATGGAAAAAGAGAGGTTCCCAGTGAGGTGCTCACCCTTACTGGATATCTAGGAAAGTCTAGGAGGCACATAAGAATAACCACAGTTGTTCGGACCAAAGATTCAACTAGTCTAGTGTCAACCAAAGTAGGGATAAACAGATGCCATAGGAAAATACATGTGTGCAGGGTACACACCTCTGCCAAGTACTCTCGGCCTTCAGTTATTTCTGGTTTGGGGGATTCCTTTGACCTGGTGTCGTTTGCTGTTAAACCTTAACCAATATTTCCTCCAATCCTTCTCCAGTGTCTCTTTGAAATTCTTTTGCCTCTACATCCTTTGGCAAGAAATTCCACACTACCTACTGACAGATGAATGATCTGATTTTGTTTTATGCTTAGCTCCTGTAAGCAACATTTGATATCCTCCTAGTTTTGTATTGCAAGAGATGGTGCAGGGGCAGAATATACTGGCATTCTCCATACCAGCCACAATCTCTTACACTTCTGTCCTGGTTTACTGGGACAGAACTTTAGAGCCAGTTTTCTGTTGAGGAAAACTTTTGTAAGGAATACAGCACTCTATTTCATGGGAACAAAGCCAATAAGACATTGGCCATCGGCCAGTTCTGGTAGGTTGCCATAGTACTCAAGGTCTTGAGATAATCATGTACAGCGGCTGGGGGGAGCAGAAACCTAGGAGAGTCAACCCCAAGGTGACCCAAGGCTGACAAATTAATATTATTCCATACCATAAATGTCACATTCACTATAAATTGGGGAGTTTACTGGAGACGGATCTTCTTCTCTCCTTCCTCTTCCATGGCTGACATCTCAAGAGGGACTTGTTTACCATCCTAACCCTGAGGCCTACTCCCCTACAGTACTGGCTCAGTAAAACTCTGTGTATTTTAGATTATAACTGTTATTAATATTAGTTTATTATTATTACTTTATTTTATTAAATATGTTTCCATTTCAACCCACAAATCTCCTTTCCTTCTCCCAACCTTCCTCCCCAGGTGGAGCGATATATCCTTGTATGGATACATCTCAGCCGTGGAAAACCCTCACAGCATAGGAAAAGTTATGAACTCAATTA